TGACACAAACAAATTAGTAACAAAGAAGGAAAGAAGAACAAAACACAAATCTATCTAGATAGATAGCCAAAACTGTTAGCTCCCCGGCAACGGCACAAAAAAGTGATCGCGGCCTACTCCGCACTATTAATTAAGTAGCGAGAGAGGGTCGGAGCAGCTTTTACCTAATTTAGAGTCGGGATCGATATCCACAGAGAGCTAGAATTTGGAATCGAGTATCTATCTAGTGTAGAGTTGCGTATGTGTTCCAAATTACGCTTCTAAACATTTTTGGGGGTTTTGTTTTACTTCTACTATTTATAAAACTACAAATGGTAAATGCAACTAAATTAAGCTAAGAATTATAATGCTACGGGTTGTTCAAATGGTTTTAAAAGGCACTAGGGTAGTGACTTCCGCCTAGGTGGTCAATTGACGGGTGCTTGAGTGTAGGGCACGTTTGACATATTTGGGGAGTATGATATAACCGTTGCACGACTTTACCCACTCTACATCTCTCGGTGGTTTGAGTGATTTTGCCCGAATTGACTTTCTCAATACCAATTGGGTATGCAAATTTGCACAAGCAACTAGGGTTCAAGTCGGGTATTACTCTCTCGAGGTTTAACCCTTTAATTGGGGCTATCAATCTCTTGAGTACGCCCCAATTCCTTGTTGGACCAAATTTCGGAGACTTAGGCTCTCTTTCTCAAGAAGAGCTTAAGTCAACTCAACACAAACTAGTGTCTGCAACCACTAATTCAGCAATTAACCACGAAATTGGCCCAAATAACAAACACCCATAGTCAATTTAGCCCTAAATACAAGACCCATCAATTACCCACACTAGGGTTGAGCCACAACCCTTGCTGATGGGTCTAGCTACTCATAATTAAAGAAGAAAAACAAGAAATAGATGAAAAACAATTCATATTAATTAATTACTAAGATAAAATAGAAGATTCAATGTTAAAATAAAGATAAAATTGCCAAAAGTAGCTAAGAAAACCGAAGTCACGAGCGCAGCTACTAGTCAAATCTATCTGCTTGACCTAAAAGTGGAAAAGAAGCTATGTATACTAAGCTGATAATTTTGGACAAAAATGCCCCTGCGGGGTTAGTACGGACCGCACAAAATGGACTGCGGTCCGCACTAGGGCTTTGGACTTGACAAAATTGCTCTCTAAACCTGGGCATTGCGGACCACAAAGAATGGACTGCGGCCGCAGAGGCTTCTAGTGCGGTCTGCATTAAATGGACCGTGGACCGCATTGGCTTGACACTGGGAAATTGCAACTCTCTGATTCTCCTTACTGCGGACCACAGAGAATGGACTGCGGCCGCGTTGATCTCAGTGCGGACCGCACAAAATGGTAGTGCGGCCGCACTGCCTCTTTGCCTGGAATTCATGCTCTCTGAATCTCCCCAGTGCGGTCCACACAAAATGTAGTGCGGCCGCACTGGCCTTGTTCTGCCTGAGCTTTGTCTTGTCTTAGTGCTTGTGCAAGTTTCACTCCCTTTAAGCTGATCTTTGACATCTTGTCACTTTGTTGATCAAACCTGCAATCAAGCACAACTTGTGAGCCTTTTGGGACTATTTTGTACGAATTTCCAATCAAAACATAAGCAAGAAGGAGTATAAAATATATCAAAATCACTAGTTATCAAAAATCCCAGACTCCAAGAAACTGGGGTAGAAGTTTTAATTTTGCCAAAAGATCTAATTCCAAAAGTTATAATTTTGAACTCTTTCATCTTAAATTATTTTGAGTCTTCATGCCACCCTTTCTTTCTAGCCATGTCCAAAAGCCTACATTACGGTCCAAAGAAAGACATTCGACCAATCTTTGAGGATGCCAAATCAAGTGTGTGGTGAAAGTATGATCTTCTTGTATCATGGGTAATAGCTTGTTCTCAGCACAAAGAGAGAAAACGATAAAATAAGAGAGTCTTATTGGTGAAAACCCTCATGGGCATTGTAAGGCGACAGTGAGTTGAGAAAAAGAGCAAAATGAGAGAGGCTTGATGGTGAAAACCCTTCAGGGCACTACAAGTCGACTGAGGATTGTGGATCAGATAGGACAATTGGAGCGTTGAAGCCCAATTTCACAGCTTAGAGGCATAACAAGAGTTGAAAATTAGACTCGCCTGACAGATCATGCCGCTTAATCCAAAATGCATGTCATGGTCAGTGCAGATGGCCTTCAAATCATATTAATTTCTACTTTGTTCTTTTTCCTGGGTAAAAATATTTTCTTGTTAGATACCATCTCTTCTCGTTTTTTCCCTTATTTTGTCCCTCTTGTTTGTTTGAGTCCCTTTTGAGTTTGTTTTTGTCGAAACAAGTGAGAAATGACTTCAAAATCTGCTACCAGCTTTTCAATCACACAAAGCCTAGTCTGGCAAGCACATCAAAATGGCATAAGACACAGGAGAATAGTGTGTGCACTAAGTTGGTGATAATAGGTGTTCTTTGGAATTGATGTAAAATGCAAAGATTTGATGAATGCTAGAACACGAGTGCAATGCATCTGGTATAAGGTATTGGACATGAACGAATCAGGAATATTTTTTGTGATAAGGATTGTTCGGAAAAATGGTTGCCCGATAACAAGCACTGTCTCCCATGTTGAAGTCCAAGTTGATCATGACAAGTGCAAGAGAAATCGCCCTCGTAGTCAAGGCACAAACTAACCACCATGTTTTAAACTCACAAGTTTTCTTTGTCTGAAACAGGGATGAAGGATATGTTCATATCGAAGCTTGGAAGCTTGAATTTTTCAGGTGTAGTGCCTCAATTCTACTGAGAAGATCACACATCAGCCCTAGGATACGCATTTCCTAGTCTGGGTCTTTCAAGTTATATTTTTGTTTTAGGAGACACACTTCCTAAATTGAGATTTTACCCCTAGGAGATGCACTTCCTAGTTTTGGGTCATTTAAGTTTATCCCTAGGAGACGCACTTCCTAGTTTGAGTCATTGATTTTACCCTTAGGAGATGCACTTCCTAGTTTTGGGTCACTTAAGTTCATTCCTAGGAGAAGCACTTCCTAGTTTAAGTCATCGAAGTTTTACCCCTAGGAGACGCACTTCCTAGTCTGGGTCTTTCAGGTTATATTTTTGTTTTAGGAATTGCACTTCCTAAATTGAGATTTTACCCCTAGGAGATGCATTTCCTAGTTTTGGGTCATTTAAGTTTATTCCTAGGAGACGCACTTCCTAGTTCGAGTCATTGAAGTTTCACCCCTAGGAGAGGCACTTCCTAATCTGGGTCTTTTAGGTTATATTTTTATTTTAGGAGACACACTTCCTAAATTGAGATTTTACCTCTAGGAGACGCACTTCCTAGTTTTGGGTCATTTAAGTTCATTCCTAGGAGACACACTTCCTAGTTTAAGTCATTGAAGTTTGGCCCATAGGAGACGCACTTTCTAGTCTGGGTCTTTCAGGTTATACTGTTAAGGAGACGCACTTCCTAAATTGAGATTTTATCCTAGGAGACGCACTTCCTAGTTTTGAGTCATTCAAGTTTCAGCCCTAGGAGACGCACTTCCTAGTTTGGTTCATTCAAGTTTCATCCCTAAGAGACACACTTCCTAGTTTTGGTTCATTCAAGTTTCACCCTTAAGAGACACACTTCCTAGTTTGGTTCATTCAAGTTTCATCCCTAGGAGATGCACTTCCTAGTTTGAGTCGTTTGAGTTCATCCCTAGTAGATGCACATCCTAGTCCAGTCTTTAGTTTTACCCTCATCATTGCATCAATAGCATAGGTGATTTACAGTTTTGCTAACAACTCACAAATCTTCCTAGTGCAAATTGGGGCAGAAAATTTTGTTTATTTTGTTATTTTGATTGCAGACACCCACCTGGAGAACGAGGAAGTTCTTTTCAGAGTTACTTCAAATTTCAAGTCAGTAGCAGGCGCCCACCTGAAGAACGAGGGAAGTCATTTCAGAATTCAATTCAAGTTAGAAGTTGCAGAAGCTCGCCTCAAGAATGAGAGTCAACAGTCCGAGATGACCAAAAGAAGAAGTCTCAATCCACAAAAAAAAGGGGAAAAGGTAAATCCAAATGCAGAAACAGATGAAAGATGTGAACTGCTTAAGACATGGATGAAGTTACGAGCACTGCATGTCCGGTCTTGATCCGAAGAAGTCGTGGAAGAATGAATCAGCACCTGCAAGGCTCAAATCAAAAGTCTGCATGAAGAACCGTTCAAGACTCAAGATCAAGCTTCAGCAGACTTAGAGATAGGAAACTTGTAATTCATAGCTGATAGGCTTGCTTAGTTCTTTTAGATTTTGATTTGATGTAATAACAAGACCGCGGACCGGAACCTCCACGACACCTCAATCGGCTCTCCACCTTGGTATACTCCATCGCTCTTCCCACTTCTAAACTACACGTGGCCTAATTCCTTTATAGCCAAGGATATGTAGGCAGCTCAGATACCAGGGCTCGATCACATTCTCCTTTCTTTTAGTTTTTGGTCTCTCTAAATAAGGGTCGGGTCAAAAAACATGTCTCGTCGTTCTTTGTCTGAAAACTCTTCGTGTTTCTAATCAAAGAGGGCAGCTGTAGACATGTAATTTTTGATCCTTCCCGAGATTTTATACATTTTAACGTTTAATTATTTAGTTTAGGTCTAATATCGCTATTTTTTAACTAATTTTGACTCTTTTACTTTATTTATCACAAAAATAAAAATTACAAAAATATTTTCTTTTATTTAGCTAATTGATATTTTATCTAGTTATTCTTAGTTTATCTACCTCTCATAAAATTTAAAAAATACAAAATAGTTTCACTTTTAATATCTAGTTTTATGTTAGTAGTATATGTTAATTAATTAAGAGTGATTAAATATATTATACTTTTTAGAATAAGATTTGGGATTTTAGCTAAAAGAGTTTGAACAACCCCAAAACTAATCTCAGTTTCGAATTTTCTTAAGCAATTTTGGACCAATCCAATTCCCCTTATCCCAAATAACTTATAGTTCCTAAATCCAATCCCAATACCCATTAAACCCACAAATAACTTAATATCCTAAAGTTAAGACCTCATCTTCTTCTCTAACCTAGACACCCTAAGCTTCATCAGCAACCTAACACACACAAAAGACAAGCCGCCACCCTAACTCCTCTCAAGGACCACGCCGGCAGACCACCCCTTTCGCTACCACTGATCCGCCTAGAACCAGCTGACTCAGCCCCGCCTCCCTTCACCTCACAGCTGCCGGCGTCCAACCGAAAAATTCAAGAGCCAGCGACCACAGCAGCCCATATTCTCCATCTCCACCGCCGATTTCTTTAGCTTATTACCCAGCTTCTGCACCTCACATGCTCTTAGCCTTAAGTGTTGGCTTTTCTACGAAACAATCGTAACCTCACATCAAGTCCGGTGGTAAAGACTACTAACTCTAACAAGAGAAGCATCCACCCCTACCAAATCTCTGAGGAACCAGCAGCACGCCGTCGTTTTCCTCCAGCTTCAAGCTCATTGGATTGAGAATGAGGAATCGAGGTACAACAGACCCGAGCTTTCCGGTTCCGATTTGAGTTTCCATCTGCGGTTCTGACGCTTTTGTTTCAGAGCTGCCGCACAATTAACTTCAGATTCGTTTGAGGTTAATTTCTCATTTCCTTCTACTTCTTATTTGCTGAACCTCGAACCCTTGTTATTTCGTTAATCTATCGATTGGTCTGTTTGTTGATCGTATGAGTTACTATATCATTGTTCTGTTTTTGAATATCTTGGTAATATTTGCTTTTGTTGATGATTCTTGTTTGTACGTTGTTTAGTTTAAATATAATCTGGATGGGTTTTTGATGGTAAAAATGAGTTTTTGATTCCATGTTTCACCACTTCATTAAGAGGTAATTGTTTAAGGCTTCACAGTACCATTTTGATGATAAAGAATCAAATTGACATAATTAAATAGATTGAATGGAATTCTAGTTGTTTCAGTTGTGGGAGTTAGCTTTCAAAACGTGAGGAAATTGGGCTTAGATAATATTGTTGCTCTTTTATTCTTACTCTCATGAATTTGATCGATAGTAGTATGCTTAGGCCGATCACATCCGGGTAAGCAAAACTTAGGCTTTCTTTATTTCATTTTTGAGGCGATAGGTCGTTTCTTTTAGTTTATTATCCGGAAAATGCCCTGCTAAGTTTGTATATATTTTTTATCCGGGGTATGCCCCGAAGTATTTATATTTGGAGGTCGAAAGTAGAATTCGTAGTATTTTTACTTTATTCTCATTTTTGTTTATTAGGTGAGAACGATCTCGAGCCTCTTGTGTGTTTATTTTTCTTTTGTGTTTATTATTATCTCAATTTGAATATTTTAAAAGCCAACTAGATCGAGTACGCAACCGTGACCTTCACGGGACGGGGAGTGCCTAACACCTTCTCCCCGAGTCAAATGAACCCCCTTACCTTGAATATCTGGTGCAGACTTAGTTTTGGAATCTAAAGTGTTTTAAAAGGAAAAATTATTTCTAAAAACGGTGACCTGACACACCGAAATCAAATGTTAGGTGGCGACTCTGAAAAGTCCTTTTGAACACAAATTTTTGTCACTTTCAAATTGAAAACGCTTTTGAGCTTTACAAATCTTCTTTATATATTTTAAGAGGGTTAAGTGAGGTGTAAAAAAGGGGTGTGACACCTGCATATATATCAAAATGTGAAAGAAAAATCAAATCAAAATTTATGTGTACTTAATCAAAGTGAATTGAAGAATGAATGTGTTATGTGGCAACCAACCCTGCTATTGGGCCTTCAACAATCCACTGTTGCCAGTCGTTGATGATAGAGTAATTTAAAGATCTTATCCATGCTTGAATTGATTGGAAAGGGATTGGAGAGTCATGTCATGGTCACCACTATATGGGCAAAAAGTAAATGAAAAACTCCTAATTAGTTGCAGATAGAATCCAGAATTTAGAATCAGTGAGTTTAGGATTAGTGTAATCTTATTATATCAAGTCGAAAGCAATTGACTGATCAGTTGAACCATCTAACTCGCTTAGATTCATCACGTGCAAGTTTAGCTTCAACCTGTATAATAAGTGACCTAAAACCTTTAGCACTGAGATTCACATGATACGGTATGCTGTTCTCGATTGTTTTTGTATATGACACACCAAAATTGTATCGCGTCCATTGTTCAGTACTTCCCTGTGATGATGATACATTTTATGTTTTTGTAATTAGATGATGCTTACACCGTCACTACACTTTTTCTTGTGAAATCTAACATACCTTTTGGACATGGAGAGCATGTCTAACGTGGTCATCATTAGCCCACTCATAAATGAGCTTGTACCAATCTGCTATAAATATTTGGAAAGATGAATTAACCAAGCTACTAAAGTAACTTCCTCTGCTTCAAATGTAATATAACCGAAATTTATGAATGAAAGTTCACTCAAAAATTGGTACGCTTATTGTCATAATCAGAGGCGGATCCAGGATTTAAATTTTATGGGTTCAACTTTTAAGAATTTTAACATTGAACCCATTATATTTTTAAAGTTATGGGTTCATATCTACTATTTTTGCAATTTTAAAGAATTTTTACATAAAAATTCTTACTCCGCATCGAAAGTAATGGGTTTAATTGAACCCGTTGGTAATACAGTACATCCGCCCCTGGCCACAATACAACTACCTCTTAAGCTCAGGCTACCATAATGTCGGCAATATGAATTCCGTCAATATCCATTCCGTCAATATCCATTCCACTTTATAGGTCATGAAGGGGTTCTTAGAGCAACGGTAAAGTTGTCGTTGTGTAACCTCTTAAGTTCGCGACATGTTAAGAGAAAGAGGATGAGAAAGAGGGAAGGGGAAGAATGGATCGAAAGAAGGATGTTATATAGACTAATGTAGGTCTGTTCAATATTAGAAAGTTCAGCTACAGAGAATATAAAAAGGATGGGCGAGAGTTATATATAATAATTGTATCAACATACATTTTCATTTCTTTTTGCTGCGCAAACTAATGAAACTGGGCTTTGGATAGTATCCCAACAATCAAGTAAATAGAGTACATGAATATAATTAGTATAGGGTTGAGAACCCAGGTCATTCCCTGCATGACAAAAAAAGCTACGTTGAGGGAGAAAATGGTAATCTTCTTAATTAATTGGATTAAGCTTGCTAATCCCAGATAAAGCAGAGCAGCCAGGACCTCCAGTAAGCCACAAAATAACAGGGCAGAATTCAGGACTAGTTTCTAACTTAATAAAGTACATAAAATAGTTGCACATCCTCTGATTCTCCAACTCCTGTATACCTGAAGTGAACACACCAATGCCCGCCTAGATCTATGAATCTCATCACAAGATGAAGATGATGTCTTGATTACTGGATCTACTCCAATCACTCCACGTGACTTGTTTCACTCAAAGTATGGTGTACGAGAAAATTCATGCTTTGCATTACCATCTACGATGGTTATCCAAGCAATGGTGACTAACATTTCGACTGTTGAAGAACAACTCAAAAATTTAACAAAGACAATTGAAGGGTTAACAAAGCATATGCAAGATCAAGATAATTAAACTATCAAGCTGACATATAGAGTTGAAAGCATGATGGAGGGAGATTCAAGTCATGCACCTGGGAAGATCCCTATGATGCAAGATAAAGGAGACTCGTTGATCGCTGCCAACTCGACGCAACACTGAGGTAGGAAGAGCGGGTCGCAATAGCTTTTACCCGAATAGTGGTTCGGGATCGAATTTCCACAGGGAGCTAGTAGTGGAGTTGTATTATCTGTCTAGTCTAGAGATGCGGTTGTGCTTCTAATGTCACTTCAAACATTTTTGGTTTTCTTTGATTCTTATAACTGCTATTATAAAACTAATGATTAAAACTAAATTATGCTAAGAGAATATTGTAGAGAAAGGCACTAGGGTCGTGGCATTGCCTAGGTGGCTAATTAACTGGTAGATGTTACTAAGGATAGATTGACATATTTGGGACTTATGCTATAACCGTTGCACAATTGTACCCACTCTCACACCTCTCGGTAGAGAGAGTGATTTTGCCCAATTGACTCTCTCGAGACCAATTGGGTAGGCCAATTAGATCAAGCAACTAGGGTAAGTAGGGTATTTACTCTCTCGAGGTTTAACCCATTAATTGGGACTACCATTTCTCATGGGTCCATCCCAATTCCTTGTTGAGTTAATTTTGGGGTCTTGGACTCTCTTTCTCAAGAAGAGTTAGACCCACAAAGCTAGAATCAGTGTTTGCAACCACCAATCCTTAATTAAAAAAAACCTAAAATCAACCCAAATAACAAACACCCAATATCAATCTAACCTTAGATGGCAACACCCATCAATTACCCACACTAGGGTTGAGCCACAACCCTAGCTAATGTGTTTAGCTACTCATGCTAGGTACAGAAATTAAAGGAATAGATGAAGAAGTAAGCATATTAGTTAATTACTAGGAAGAAACTACAATAATAAAGAGCAAAAGTGCCAAAAATGGCTACAATATCCGGTCTCACGAGCTCAGCTGCGTTCAGAACATAAAACTTGACCTAAAAATGGTAAAAGTCCTATTTATACTAGGCTGGAAAAACTGAACAAAAATACCCCTGCGGGGTCAGCGCGGACCGCGCAAAAAGGACCGCGGCCGCACTGGCTCTTGGACTCATGATTTCAGCTTCTCTGAAGTTGGGGACCGCGGACCGCGTAGAAATGCAGCGCGACCGCGATGGAAGTTGGCGCGGCCGCACAGAAATGAACGCGGGCCGCATTGCTTGGAATTGGCAAAATTATGGCTCTCTGATCTCTGCTCCGCGGACCGCGTAAAAGAGTAGCGCGGCCGCGGAGCCTGACCGCGGACCGCGAGAATCCAACCGCGGTCGCGTAGCATGCCCATTTGAAACTGCCATCCTCTGAACCTCCTAGTGCGGCCGCATTCACATTTGCGCTGTCCGCACTAGGTTCTCTTTTCCTCAACTTACTTAGTCTTTGACACTTGAGCAGGTTTCACTCCTTTTTTAGCCGATCTTTGACATTCGCCGCTTTGTCGATCAAACCTGCAATCAAGTACAACTTGTGAGCATTATGGGACTATTTTGTAGCAATTTATAACCAAAGCATAGGCAAGTAGGGGCATATAACACGTTAAAATCCTAACTTATCAACTCCCCCAAACTTAAGCCTTTGCTTGTCCTCAAGCAAACAAAATAAGACCTACCCCTTAAAGAAAAATCCAAGTAATTCCAGCTATCCTAAAGTAACCTCAACAAGCATCAATTGGGACTAACAATTGCCCTCAATACGAATGCATCATTAACACATTTAAACTTGAAAAACCACGGATCAAGTGTGACACAAAAGCATCAAGAGTTGACACATTTCATCACAGAACTTATCTCAATTACTTTGGTCATTGTGGAACCCAAACTCACACATCCTCAACTCTCCCTAAGCGAACCTCACCTTTTAGAGTATTAACACACAAATCAAGGTTGATGGAGTTTCACTCATCTCTCTCAAGAAGAAGGTCACACGTCCGGCTCTAGGTACCATATGCTTGCCCCTTATGTAAGTATCCACTAATGTAGGTTTCCTTCAACTCAAGATCCTATATGGC